ACGAAAATTAGTATTCAAGGGAACCTGCACTTACGCCGAGATGAATATTTCTGGTTAACTTCCCACCGAAGAAAATATATTTACAGGTCTTTATATATGATATAATCGAGACCACGGTCTATTATAAAAATATGTTTCCAGATTCGGGCTCCTATTGAGAGCATGCAGCCTTGAGCGGTTCTGATCACTAATGTTTCACAGCTCAATTATGCACGCTTAGCTCTCATGCAATAGACGCGCCAGACGCAAGAATGCAACACCGCCGTTTCCTTCGCAACAGCGGACGTAAGCAAGCATTTCAATTTGCTTATAAACATTGTATTGCAGCATTTCAAGGTGCCTTGAAAATAATACTTGTGTTGTATGTATTTTTATGCAGTCGGAAGTTAGTCATTATAATAGACGTCTGGTATATCAGCTGTAGATAAGAAATTTAGCCAGTGCAGTACAGCTGTTAGCCTAGGGTCTTTAACGTGAACCTCACAGTAGTGATACACGACCGTTCGCCGGCACGATGCTATCCAAATCGAAACGGGCAGGGGTAGAAATTCTGCAGCGAGAGCTTTCACTACGCCTTCCAAGCTGAGGTGCGCTAACCCACTCGGCAACCGATTTCCCTTGTAAACGCTTTGAGAGGCGTTTGCACACAAACGAAACGTAACTGATCGCTATGGCTAACCTAAGCATTCCAACATAAGTGGGCTGAAAACACGTGCTTTCAAGTGGCACATAGATGTCGTACGTTGACTTTCAATGTCGTACATTGATAAAAATTAAATAAGAATATGTGTCTTACCTCACAGTATTCCTTCATGAACAGAAGGTCTCGCGGTCGCTGGAACTGCGGCACATGTCACAGTCCGTTGATGTCTTCCCCATCGCAGTCCAGGGCAGTAAGGCAGTCTAGGGCGTCAAAAAATGAATTCCACCGCGTAGAGACTGGTCTCTGGAGGCTCTTCCCGCAGTACTTCATGATGGTTTCCGCGGCGATGGCCGACTGCCCTTGTTTGCACCATAATGCACGACACGTGCCGAAGACCGATCTAAGGGGCCTTGAAAAAATCTCGTGCCGCTCAGCCTCCGACGCATCCGCCGTTGCCACCAAGTTCAAGGTGTGTGCAGAGCACCGATGATGAGGAGGAATGCGGGCTTCGCCTGCGGCTACGTTGTCTAGCAAAGGCGCCACCTCCACGGCCTCGGTAAAGGCTTCTTCGGCGTGATGCGCGTCTTTGACATTCTTTTCGCCAAAAAGTCTGCACGAAAAAGCAAATAGAAATGTTTGAACCGAACTTGCACCCATAAAATTAAAGTGCGATAAACATACCTGAAGGCTTTGACGAAGTTTGCACTGTTGTCCGTTATCACCTTCGTAACCTTTCCTCGCAGACCGCAATCGTCAAAGGATTTCTGGAAGGTGTCTGCAATTTTGTCATAGGTGACTCGTCCGGTCATGCGGCGGCAGAGGAGAACGGCGGATTTCCTGCTGAGGGCTCAAGCCAGGAAACGATAGCTGCCAGGTAGCTCCTAGGATGAAGAAATGGTGCATAGAAGATAATTAACCCGTATATTTCGCCAATTTTGCTCCGTCAGGTCAATACCAGACACGCTGTGTTTTAATAGCATTTAACTACAGAAGCACAAATAAAAAAGAAAAAAAAACTGGTCGAAAACGACACGGTCAGTTGGCCAAAAACTGGTCTACTTCAAGGAGGTAAAGACGTCAGGGAGGCCTTCCAGCTGCCCAACCTCCTGCAAGGGCTTTCTACGTCTTGTAACGGTTAGCGTCTTGTGACCTTCGAGCTTGCACGCACACACCTTGAACTCGAGTTCGAGGGTTAAAAAAATGAAACGCCCAGCGTTCTTGTTCCTTTTTAGCTACACGAGGCCTCAGATTGAAAGCATGCAGCTCAGGCATAGCCGAAATACGGTTTAGATCAGTAGTGAAACAAAGGCACGCCCCCCGTATGACTCAGAAAACGATCGGTGCTTCGGGGAAGACACCATGTCACGTCTGCTTTAAATGCAGTTGAGAAACACATTAATTGAGCTCGCGTTGATAGCTTGAACTGTTTTCCAAGCTATTATGAAACAAGCTGAAGACATACGCCATTATTAGAAAGCCACTACTGGTTGTTCAAAATCGATCAACGCATACTAAAATTCAGGGTTCAGTAAGTAGCTGTCTTTTGAGAAGCTGTGCCAACAACACAGCAGCAAAAATCAGATGCTATAAAAACTTGTGCGCTTTCTACAGGCAGGGGACCAAGAATCCCGGAGAAAAGCTCACCGGAGATAAGCTCACCGGAGAAAAGCTCACCGCAAAACCGGCGGGTGCGGAGAAAAGCTCACCGATTTTTTTTTTCTTTTTCTATGGAGGCTGTTGGATCATGCGTAACATATATAAATTTATTATCATTAAAGTTTGTCAGCTTTGTCAAAAAGAAAATGTCCTTTTTTGTATTATTTGCCAAGCTTATTAAGTGTATTGCTCCCAAAATAATAATGGCGGGTTACTGTTTCCTGCGGCTTACTCTCTAGGCAACTAAAGCTTAACTGAAAATTTTATGAACTTGAATAACATGAAAAAGTTCGTAAACTCGTAAAAGTTCGCATCAACAAATACCTACTTAACTATTAGGCACTACAAAATATTTGAAGCTGAAACGGTTCACACGCCGCTATTCATATTAGCTCACTAAGAACAAACCTCTTTATTTGACAGAGCTACCGACGGCGAACCCTCAGTTGCTAATACATTGTTGTCTTTTTTACCGGTGTACGATGTTCTGATATAATTTTTGCGGCTTAATTAATATACAGAATGGGTGATTACTAATTTCTGAGGAATTAGCAAATATGCCCAAGAATATTACAAGAGGAAATATTTTTTTTAAATGAAGTGGCGAATGCGAATTGTCTTAAATTGTCATGTTTAACGCAGAATCCGCTAAGTTAAACAAAAAAAAAAACACATCGGTGAGCTTTTCTCCGCTTCTGCCGGTTTTGCGGTGAGCTTTTCTCCGGTGAGGTTATCTCCGGTGAGCTTTTCTCCGGTGAGCTTTTCTCCGCCGCCCGGGGACCAAAACCCTTACCGTCGAAAGGTCGTCCAACAGTCCGCTGTCACCGTCACGTAGGTCACCTCTCCCAAAGTTGCCTTGAGCCGCAGCTTCATTGCTTCACAGCTGGCCTCCATTCGCGCCATAAGAATCCTTCGAGTCAAAACGCTGCAGTTCGGCGCCAGTGATTTCACGATTTTCAGAAAGCTTGGTGCCTGAACAACTGAAAATGCTTGTGACGTATCCACTACGAATGTCAGGACAAGTTCGTCAAGCTTGCTTTGCGACACTGCACCTCTCAAAACCAATGGACCTTTTGTAGAAACATCGGTTCGAGAGTAAATGCTCTTAGTACCCTTTCTCTCTTCCTTCTGGCCGAGCAGAGAGGGAAGATGGTTTCCTCGTGTCGACTTCAGCGCAGAAGTTTACTCACGATGGGGACAAAGGCGAGTTTGGGGGAGCCGTATCTAGGTCACAGCGTCTCAATGGGTGAACAGGATGTGGCTGACTGTTAAGGTGTCGAACTAAATGGCTAGAAAACAACGCGCCATTACGGGCGCGTTGTTTTCTAGTAATTTAGTCTCGAACGCAGTCGCGTGCCTAGGTGGCAACACATATTCGCTAAAAGGTCCATTGTCAGCTGCTTCTGAGCTGTCAATGGGGACTCGGGCGCCTTCCTTTTCTTTAGGACACTTTGAAAGCCAGACAGCTGGCTAGAGTGTTGCCGCCAAAAAAAAAAAAAAGAAAAGAACAAAAACAACACTGCGGGTGGGAAATTTATTACATTCCACGGCAGTGGTTCTCGAATGGGGGTCCGCGGACCCCAGGGAGTCCGCGAAGCCACTTGTGGGGTCCGCAAAACCCTTAAGAAAAAAATTTTTTTTTTTTTTTTAGTTGGCACGTTTTTTGTATTTCAGTCCGGCCGTGACTGATTTGCAACCTGCTTCCGGAACTACGGCAGCAATCCGCACAAGGTCATCTCAGTCACCTCCTTTCCCTCTTCCCCACACCTTCCCGAACTACGTGTCTCGGGTGCCCCGCAGCGGGATTATCATACACAGTGTTGCCAGATTGGGCTATATATAGCCAAATTGGGCTACATGTTTTTATAGTAACTTAATCAAAAGTTGTAAGTGATTTTCTCTAAATTTCAATGGGAAAATGGCCGCCGACGGAGTTTTTGAACACATGGGGCTCTGTGACACCAGAAACCGAAAACGAGCAAAAATGGGCTCCATTTTCCTATTGAAATTTTCAGAAAATCACTTATAACTTTTGATTAAGTTACCGGATCGGGCTGAAACTTTGGCATTGTGCTTGGACCGCTAGGGTTACATTCTGGCGGAATTTGAAAGTTCTGCGATGCGTACTTATTTTACGCCGGCCGAAAAGTAGGGTTTACTTTTCTCGATCTGACCCTGTACTAGGAGGGGGCACGTTGCAATATTGGAGCCTAGTCACAAAAAGTTTAAACGATGTTGTGGCCAACATGACCGTGGACCTCTCTGGCTATTAGTACGCGTGACATGTCACGTGTGAGATGGATGGTTGATTCTAGAAGAATTCCTGCAGGCTTGCCCGCGCTCCGTCCGGTAGGTTTTATCAGATCGAAGGCTAGCTACGGTCACGTGATGTGGTCACGTTGGCCTGATAAATGAGGAGAGTAAGGAGGAAAATGAGAAAGAGGCGAGGCGTCAAGGAAGCATGGCTTGTGGAGGCTACGCGGCTGACGTCATGCCCTCTCCTACCCTTGTATCCTCCTTGGCAGGCCCGGTAGCGCGTCTTCAACCCGGACGCATATTGCTCTGCCTGGACGAATGACTACCTTCCAGTCGTCGCCCGCCCCAAGAAAGGACAACACAATCGGCATCGGTGGCTGTGCCGTGGAGTCTCACCCGGTTGGCCTCGGACGCAAAGGTAGGTGTTTGTCTGAGCCGCGTAGCCATGTCCAAGTTACGTGGCTACAAAGAAAGTTATCTGAAGTTTGGCTTTGCCGATATCGGCGGCAAACCGCAATGCGTTTTGTGTGGTGAAGTACTCGCTCAAAGTTGCATGGTGCCGACGAAGTTGGCACGCCATCTCCGGACAAAGCATCCAAGCTTCCAAGACAAGGACATTGAGTTCTTCGAAACCAAGAAACGAAAGTTGGAATCCCAAAAGCTGGATAATCCAAACAAGGTGAGGTCGAAATTATCAAACCACAGTTTTAAATAAGTTATTGATCAATGGCATCGCCTTGTCGTGGACGTGCCTGCGGTGTCCGACCGGCCGCTAGCCTTGATCGGTCGCCGAATGCTTGTTCGCCGTGCTTGTGCTGACGATGTTCACGGCAGGCCGCAGCCGGCAACCCTCAATGTGCGTTTCGTTCGCCGTGCGTACGCTGATCGGCACTTCAGAGGCTCAGGCCTCGCGGTTAGGTGGCAGATTTTGCTAGTTCGCTTTGGTGCATGTGCCGTCAACTTCCGACATGTATACAACGCGTCGCGGGATGGGGAAAACGAACGGGGGAGTTGCGCGAGATCGGATGGGGGGGGGGGGGGGGGGGGGGGGGGGGGCTCGCGGCGGCCTACCGCCCCGGGCGCCGCTGACCCTCGTGACGTCACTGGTTCAGCGTACACAGCTAGACTTGTGTTTCAGCCAGCAAGCTCGGCGGATGCTATCAAGGCAAGCTACATGCTCAGCTACCACGTGTCCAAACAGATGAAGCCTCACACCATCTGCGAGACTGCTTATGCCCTGCATGAAGGACGTCGTCGGTGCTCTCATAGGCAATGAGCACGTGAAAAAATTGGACAAAATACCATGCTCGAACGACACCGTAGCACGGAGAATCAAAGAAATGGCGTCTGATGTGCAGGATCCAGTAATTGAAAAATTGAAGTCGGCTGGGAAGTTTTCCCGTGCCATGGATGAGAGCTGCGACGTATCCGGGAGCCCACAGCTTGTAGCATTTGTGCGCTTTGTGGGTGGCCTTGTCATTGCCGAAGAGCTTCTTTGTTGTCTGGAACTCGAGACCAGACACAACAAGAGGTCAAGACATTTTCAATGCCACTAACATTTTTTTTTTTGTTTCGTGCGGTCTTCGTTGGGACATGTGTGCAGCTGTGTGCACCGACGGCGCTCGAGCCATGGTTGGAAACAATGTAGATTTTTTAGGGCTCGTTAAGGATGTAAACAGTGCCGTAGCATTCACTCATTGTATGCTTCATAGGGAGGCTTTGGCATCAAAGGAGTTAAGCCCAGAGCTTGCGAGTGTCATGCAACATGTCGTCAAAGTCGTGAACAGCGTAAAGGCAAGGCCTAAGGCCAGTCGCCTCTTTAAGGTTCTGTGCGAGGAGATGGGTGCTGAGCACCAACACTTACTCCTGCACACCGAGGTGCGCTGGTTGCCGCGCGGAAAAGTGCTCGCAAGGGTGTTCGAGCTTAGAGAGGAGCTGAGTGTTTTTTTGTTGTTTTTTTTTTGGCAGAAGATGGGGCGCTCGCAGATCCTTTTCATGACTCTTCTTTTGTGACTAAGCTTGTGTAACTGTGTGACCTGTTTGAGCACCTGAACCAGCTTAACAGCAGCATGCAGGGGATGGGCACAAATGTTGTCTCTTCTGGGGACAAGGTGAGAGGTTTTTGTAAAAAGCTTCAAAGTTGGTTGAGCCGCGTAAGCAGAGACGATTATTCTCTTTTTAAGCTGCTCAGTGATCTTGCAGGCTCTGGGGCAGTACCTGGGAGTGACAGAACCACGATCATGGCCCATCTGAGAACATTAAGGTGCCACATCAAGAACTACTTCCCAGAATCTGCCCCACACATATGGCTGACGTTGCTTGCTTGGCATATATATGAACGTGTCGAAGCTGAAAATGAGTTGATGGAGCTTCAGGAAAACACAGTGATAAAGGCAAGGTTTCCCACTGTGAGCCTTGAGGCATTTTGGTTGGGGACTGCAGAAATGTTCCCCCTTCTCCATGAGATGGCTGTAACGCTTCTATTACAGTTTTCTACAACGTATGCATGTGAGCATGCTTTTTCCAGGCTTGCATACCTGAAAAGTAACTACCGGAACAGGTTGAATGTGGCCGCAGATATGCACCTCTTTTTAAGCGCGACTGTGCCACGTATTGATGAACTGACCAAAATGAAGTGGTGTTGCACTCTTGTTTTATGTTTTTCTGCTACGTAGCAATAAAAGGCACCTGTTTCATATGCTCCAGATGTGTTAACTTACTAACGTCCCCCCCCCCCCCCCACTGGAAGGGGTCCCCCATCACTGCCTGCGGTCCGCAAGGGGTCCCCGACACATCCATGGCTGAGAACCACTTACGGGATTAATATTAGAAGGTCCTAATTTTTGCAAATACGCAATTAAAGAACGATTACGAAAAAACAAGTTTACAATGACGAATACATTGCATATCACCCCCATGAAAACATTTAGTGCTCCCAAAATATTCGCGAAACTGACACCTTCCGAATTACAAGAAATATTGACCCAAGGGAAATTAAATGCGTGCGTAATATATTCGTTATGAAACTAATCAAGGTGAACTTACCTGAACGTGTTTCCTCAAGTTGGCGTTGGTCGACTTCGCGCATGACCAGAGCTTCTGTTTTGGTTTGCAAAGCAATCATTCAAAGATGATATTACCGTCACTCCTCATTTCGCTCACTGAGAACATAGAAACTAGCTGAGGCCACGGCGACTTCGGGCAGCGGTGCTCCATGGCGAACGCAAAAGACAGGGTTCATGACGACACCCCCGATTTATATACCATCGGTGGTGATTCACTGTAGAATCAGCAGACCTCTCGCCTCTAGTCCGGAATCTTCACTCCTAGCATTGTCACAGCTTACGAGCCTACTTGAGCCATCATATGTTGGTTAGATATTTTTAGAAAAAAAAAAGAAGAAAAAAAAACACAGCGGTAAGTTCCACTTCAAAATCCTTGTTGAAGTGATAATGCATTTTTTGTTGCAGAAGTTGTTGCTCAAAACATTTTTTTGTTTGGTAACAGTAACGGTAACAGTACAAAAGTACTGTTACCGTTCTCAAAGTGCTCTAAGAAACTTGACCTATACGCTCCGTGCGGGAACTATAGGGGGCGCTTTGAAAAACGCGTGTAGCGGCGCTAGCGGAGGAGCTGGTGTTCGACAGTGAGGCGCGTTCAGCAGCCTGCGGCGCCTTTTCGCATGCCAAGCTGTGGCGGCGGAAGCGCGCACGGACGAAACTTTTGCTTTTTGAGCCGATAAGTTGAGCGTGACGTTGCATGAGTGCTGGAAAAGACATAAGAAGGGTATCTAGCTGTTCTCCACTTCTTATATATTGAGTTTGAGTCGTTATTAGGGGTAATTTCTCTAGTTGCGACCGAAAAAGGGTTTGGAGCAATTTTCCGAAAAGCAAGACGGCAGCCACCATAATTGTTCTGAGTGGGAAATTTGTTTCGCTCGTCGCTGTAAACGGGACTGCTCGAACGATGATATTTGAAGGTGAGTGAGATGTTAACTAAGTTTGTGTACGGAGTGTGCCAAGTTTCATTAAAACAGCAGGTGGGAAAGTTATGTTTCTAACGAATAACGAAATAGAGCTGTACGGGATATCCAATATTGGACCCAAAATGTTGTGTAATAACCGGGCTGTGCGAAGCGCAGGTTTGGGCACACAGATGCTTGGGCTTGACAGTAACATGACACAGCACTTATTATACCAAAAATAGGTGGCATAGGGAAGCCAGGTAAGAATTTCGTTTGGGCGGCGTAACTCAATGGTAACCGGTTTCGACCATGAAAGAAAGGGCTGTCAAGAGAATACCACTCGTCGTGGGTGGTGGAGACTTTACAAATAGGAAGGGACTAGTGGACTGTACTCCCGATTGAAACAATTGTACAAAAGGTGGTTCTAAAGCCGAGAAAACAACGTTGTCGGTCAACACACGGTTTGGCCGTCAAGGGCTTTGCGGTCAGCTGTTGTGTAATAACCTGTTGCGCGAGGTGCTGATTTTCGGCACACAGGTACTCTGACATGATCGTAACTTGACGCAACACTTATTATACCAAAAAGAGTTGGCATAGCGAAACCAAGTGGAAATTTAGTTTGGGCGGCGTAACTAAATGGGAACCAGTTTTGACCGCCAAAGGCTGTCAAGATAATGCACTTATCGTGGGAGGTGCACACTTCAGATGCAGGAAGGGACCAGTGGATGGTACTTCCAGTTCGAACAACTTTGTGATAGGTGGCTCTAAAGCCGAGAAAAATATTGTTGTCCACAGAACTCGGGGTGTCAGCGTTTCCGCGTCCAAAAGGAGGCTCATCAAAAAAGAAAGTACACCACATAAACTTCCATACTCAATCGTCGATTCTCCAGTGATTCCGAGTTTCATTGTAGTTTTCCTTAGATTCATATTTGTCACTTTTTTTTTTCGTTCCAATCTTTCTACATGAAGTACAGGTTGGGTGCCATACTTATTTATTTATTTATTTATTCAATACTGCAACCTCATTGAGGTTTTAGCGGGGTGGACACTGTGGTACAACAAAATACACCAATCTTCACGAAAAAGTACATGTGTCCGGAAATATAATCGACACGTACGATGGGGACGAAACTTCTTTGAAGGGCATTCCTCCAACGAAATGGGCACCGCATACCCGCGAGTGTGGGATGGCATTTCAGTTCGTTCCATTGGCGGTAACACATGTAGGCGTCACTGGTACGAAAACAAACGCAGAGCGCAAAGCGGCAGTGTAGAATATGTCAGCCGTGCCGACACAATGGCAGATATGATCGGGAGACTAAATTTCTTGCGTAGTACGGCACGGGTCCATCGTTGTCGCTGTCCCGCAAAACATCCCTTACAAAAAAATTAACTGACTTTCAATTGAAAGTGTAAAGGACTCACTCAATAGACCTCATTCAGTCTCAATTGAAACTTAATTGACTTTTTCTATTGAGTCGCTATTGATCCGTCCCAGACTATTGGCCACTGAGTCTTAATTGAATTTTTAGCAATTGCATTTCAATTGAATTTTGGCTATAGTGTTTCAATAGAACTTTTGCTATTGAGTTTTAATAAAAATATTGCAATTGACTTTCAATTGAATTATTGCAACGTGCTTCAATAGAATTTATTGCAATTGCATTTAAAAAAAATTGCTCTGGTTGAGAATTTTTGTTTCACAATTCTTTAAAGCATGCAACATGAAGGACACAAAGCACATAGAGGAAACGAACACAAACATCGTAACTAAGCACTCACAACCCACTAATCATACTCCCTTGACTACCCCACCGCCTTATATACCCTACATAAGAAAGGTATTCATTTGGCCGGTGTCCAACTCAGCATCTACTTAGGTTCCCAGTTTCCTATTTCCTCCTTGAAAGTCTCATACATGATAAACAGTGTTTCGACGTCATTGGACTCTATTTTTTAATAGAAAAACATTGGTACAAGCAATAATCGTTCGGTGCACATGGGTGCAGTAATCTACAAACGACCAAACTCAATTGCATTCCTAATGAGTAAATTCAATAGAATCGATATTGACTTTCTTATGACCAAACTCAATTGCATTCCTAATGAGTAAATTCAATAGAATTTATATGGAGTTTCTAATGATCAAACTCAATTGCATTCCTAGTGAGTAAAGTCAATAGAATCGATATTGAGTTTTTTATGAGCAGTCTCAATTGCATTCCTAATGAGTAAATTCAATAGAATCTAAATTGAGTTTTTTATGACCAAACTCAATCGCATTCCTATTGAGTAAATTCAATGGAATTGATATTGAGTTTCTAATTATCAAACTCAATTGCATTCCTAGTGAGTAAAGTCAATAGAATCGATATTGAGTTTCTTATGATCAGTGGCAGAAACTAGAGTTTTTGCCTGCCGTCGGAGGTCGCGTGTTTGACACCCTCTGCTGGCGCCATTGTTTTCTCTACACCTTTTTAACTTTCCCCACTCATTTAATAGGTATTATAAAGATACCTTGATGTATTCAAATAGTTTTAAGAATTTGATTGTTTTCTAAAAAACATGTCAAACTCGTAACTCCGGTCGTTT